CTTTCCGTGTTGACAAGCTTCTGAACAATAATTTTATAATTTCCATCTTAAATTTTTTGTCGCGATTACTATCCTTTTAGTACCACACATTAAAATTATTGTATGAACGATGTGATGAACAAGATTATTCTGCGGAAATAAAAATAAGTTTTATAAATTGTTGGAATATAATTGTTATAATTTTAAGGCAAAATGAAAATATTGTATACACATGGATGTACACATACTGACAAATTAAAACGATTTATACTTTTCAAAATATCGAATTATATACAAAGCGGGATTATGGTTGTCGCCGCACCTAAGTAGTGTCATATTACGGATGCACTTAAACGCATTCCCATCGTTTTATTGAAAAAAATATTTGAGATTCTCGAACACATTCACACATATAGAAATATAAGATAAATTAAAAATTTCTCATATCACTCTAACCGTGACACGTCTCCTTTTTGGACTACGTCAGGCACTTGTTAAAAGTAAAAAATATAATCAAGTCGTTGTTATATAAGTGGAAAATTTTAATTAAAAAAGAATAATTGATTATGAATAAATTCTACACAGTTCTTTGTTACTTGTTAGAAATGATGTCTAAGATATTAAAACTGTGAATTATCGAAGAAAAAGATAACTGTTTTTCGAGCTCTTTCCTTAATGACTAAGACTTGGATTAGGAGAGGGAAAAAATTTCTGTAGCAGCTAAGACCGATACATTTCTCTGAGTTATCTTTTTTTAACCTGTGGCTTTGAAGAATGCTAAAATTGTCCGTAATGCCACATCATCAGTCGACCAAATATAACAAAATGGAATAGAACAAAGAAGAAAAGACATTTAGCACTTACGGCATAAATAACGAAAGATTCCTCTCTCACGTGATTAATCATTTTATATATATAGATACATTCTACATAATCTTTCTGAAAGAAATGTCATAACTATTGTTTGAATTTCCTTAAAATTTGTGATGAAAAGAAAAAAAGATAACGAGCAGCGATCTAGCTTTAAAAACCGTACGATGTACAAATCTGTGAACATGGTAAGTGTGGTAAAAAACACACATATCCTCGAAAATGGTAAATATTAAGGACATCATTGTCGCTAGAAAAATAAATATTCCGATCGTGCACACATGGTTACTGTCCGTCGATAAATGAAATCTTTATTTAAATTTTAATTCAAAATTATATTTAATTATGATTTCTTTTACTATATTGAAATGATTGCTGTTTCAGTAGTTATTTTTATAATTTTACATTTTTTTTGTATGATTGCAGTTTAAAACAACACTGATTATGGTAAATACCAATTACGTGAGATATATTCAACTTAGACTACAAATTGTCGTAAATTTTGTCTTTTAAAATATTGCGTGATTAGACGCTTTTACATGCTTTTTAATGTGTTTGTCTTTTTTTTTTCATTCTTACAATATACACTTTAAAACGAAACGTTTAATTTTGACGCGAAGATACCTTACATTTAATATTTAAACGTCCATAAATTTCATTCAATTAAACATTTTTAAAATTACTACTGAAATGTTCAATTTTGGTTTACTTTTTTATGCATCTTTTGCTACATTATTTTTGATAATATGATGCAAAATTTTAAAGATTTATACATTTACATTTGGATCAACTAACACCTCTCATAATTGTCATAATTTTGAGTTGAAATAGAATTATTGTGTTAAGACATGGAATGACAAAAATATACGTCGGTTGAAAATCAAATGCCGAAACTTCGATAGAATTACTGCTAGTGGACGTAAATCAACCAAATAATACAGGAACTAAGCTACATTAATTACAGATCAGTTTTAAAAACTTCAAATTTAAAATGACTTCTTTTTTTTCAAAATATCGAAACAAACAAAAAGTGCAATTATGGTAATCGCCTCACCTAAATAACGTCATATAATGTTTACGCCCCTTCATGCACTTAAACGCTTCCCCTTCATTTCACCAAAAAATTGAGATTTACGTGAACACGTACTTTATTTCTTAAAAAAAAATACAGATGTTCCCAAAACGCTCCCCAACTCTCTTTTTGTGCCTTAATCCTACAAGACATTTTTTGAAAACATGATCAGTATCGAAGGATTTCATCAAAAAAGCTACAATGATATCAACTATACTCGTATATCATTCAATGCATTGTACACGCAAGCACGTGCATGCACATGCAAGATGATCATGGCATGTTGTCAAAACCATAATCATATCTATATTTTCTGAGAATCAATTAGAAAAATCTTTAAAATATACATGCTACTGTTTTTCAAAAATATTGGTTATTTTGCGTATTTTGCGCACACTGCATGCGTGCATGTTGTGCATTCAACTTTGATAAAACCATAATGTAGGAATCCATTGTACCTTATCATATTCTAAATTTCATCCCGTTTTGTTGAAAACTAAGAAAGTTATATCATAAGTATTTAAACTTTCAGCCAATCAGATTGAAGCATGCCTTCAGTATAATTCTTATATATCATGCTGTAGATCTTCATAATGAATAAGGATGTTGAAAATTTCAAAGGATTCTATCGAAAAACAAGTAATATATTGAGACTTTAGTTTCAACAAATCAGAGAGAAGTGCACGTGCATGCGCATGAGATCTTGCTATTTTGACTATGTCTTCTTGTCTATGCTTCCAATATATCCTTATACTAAGTATTATGAATTTCAAAGCATTTCATAAAAAATGTTTAAAAGTTATATCTATGTAAGTTAAATTGGACATTTCATTTCTCGTGTTGCATGTGCGCACTCTTGCAAGCACAGTGTATTTGCATGCTTTCATTATAATACTTATATATCAAGCTGTAGATCTCCCTAATATATGACTGTGTTACAAATTTCAAAGGATTTTATCAAAAAACAAGATATTGATACTTAAGTTTCAGCCAATCAGAGCAAAGCGAACGTGCATGCGCGTGAAATGTTGCTATTTTAACCAAGTCATTTTGTCTATGCTACTAATATATCATCATATTATGAGTTTCAAAACATTCATCAAAAATTGAAAAAATTACGCCTATATCAATTATAATAATCATTTCCTATGTTGCACGTCCGCGCTCCTGCAAGCACGTGCGCGCAAAATAACCTTTGTTCGGCAAATCTACTAGAACATAACATGTCTACTGACCCCAAAAATATTTTACCTTAGTCGGATGCGTAGTTGTCAAGATCACTCGAATACAAAATTTTCCCAGGAAAAAAAATAAGAAGAAGAAGAAACAGAGTACAAACTATATGTTCCCCAACTTCGTTTGTGGAACATAGTTATTGGCTCCCATTGTGCACCTGTGAAGAAAACCATAAGAAAAACTTAAAGTTTCGCATATCGCTCTTACCATGACACATCTACGTGTATCTTCTTTTGAAAACGTCAGATACTATTGATGGTTTCCGCTCGACTTCTATTTTTCAGTCTACCTGTCCTCTGCTGATCATTCAATGACCCAAGAACAGCAAAAAATCCCTGAAACCATTCTTTCCTCAGTGTTTTTGTTAAAACATCGTAACTGTCTCTATTGACACAATAACACATTACGACTCGATTTGCCTCAAAAACACTTTACAACTCGTTTCAACGTTTTTGTTTTCCATTTCGACATCACCTTTGTTCATGCACAAAAAACAATATCATTTATTTTCAACTTAAGGCAAGAGAATGTCGTAAAATTTAATCTTTTAAACGCCTTTTTAGATGTTTTTTAATGTGTTTGTCTTTTTTTTCATTCTAACAATAGACACTTTTAAATGTGACATTTACTTGTGGCGCGGCGATACCCCTTATATTTAATAATCTAAACGTTTATGAAAGTAATTCAATTTAAAATTATTAAATGATTATTTTCAATTTTGATTACTTTATGCATCTTTTGGCAAATATATAATATTGGATTATATAATTCCAAATATTAAAGATATATTCACAGTAACATTACTTTTTGATCAACCCTCGTAATCTGGGGGAAAAAATTATAATGTGACCACATTGACTAGCAAGATTAAACTTGGTAAGATGAATGATTATAACTGTAAGACTAAATAAGAATAATGCACATTTAACAGACAAGATTATAATTGTTGCAGGAAAAAATAATAATTACATTTTTTTTTTGGATGAGATTTTTATTTTGTATAATTATATAGGAAATATTATAACTAGAGGTACTGTGAGCGATGAGCTCACTTAATGATACCCCCCGCCTTCCATATGGTTATAACTGGTGAAAAAGTCCATGTTTTCCTGTGGCCGGGAAACCCAAAATATGTGTCGGATCAAAAAGTAAAAAAGAAGGTGCACAATGGCAATATGTAATAAAGATTCTGTGAAAATTGCATCAAATTTCATTCAGTGGTATGAGAGGAGTTGCGGATAAGAGATGGGTACCCCAAAGCGTAACAGACGGACGGACGGACGGACCGACGTACAGACGGACGGAATTAACGATTACTATATACCCTCCCGCTTTTCAAGCGGGGGGTATAATAAAGTGGGGTTACCGTACGACTTTCTAAGATTTGCAATACGCACGTTAGTTAAGACAATGCATGGAAGTTTCTATGCAAAAAATCTCGTTTAAACACAAAATTTCTTCACATCTAGCACAGAAAAACTTAAGACTTGTTTTATAATACGTTTTGGTACCCATGATATGCAATAACCAGTACACATTATTGCGTCATATTATGACGTCATCAAGCTCTATTACACCATATGAACTTTTTTGTGTATAAAAATATAGAAGTCATACATTTTTACAAACTAATTTGCATAGAAAGACAATATTTGGCCTAAACGCACTTGCGTATCAAAAAAGAAGACGATTTTTTATGCTTTGGCGTCTGCAAAAAAAAAGAACCATTTTAGACATTTTATTGGAAAACTGATGCACAGAGTGCAAAATCATCTTTCTGAAATTATTTTTTATTAGTCAATTAAATGTTCCATTGTTCTCTTTATTTCCGTATTATTAGCATAGCTGATGAATGCAGCTGTTTTCCTTGTGGAATAAGATTAACCCAAACATAATCGCTGTGTTGGACAAATAGAGGAACATTCAGATCAACATATGCGCAACCGTCATACCACCATCCTCCTCCATCGTTATGAGCACATCGATTATAGTCCTTATCATATGTTGCAAATATTCTTCCGTTGGAGTAGCTGTTGAATTTGCTTCCTATTGAGAAAATTAAAGAAAATGATACTTTTATTATCTAGATACTTTGATGGAACATTTTGTACTTAAGTTTTGAGTTATTTTACGAGGGGCTATCAAAAAGTGTGTGGACTAGCGGCATAAAATTAAAACTGCTTTAGGTACGCCATTAAATTCTAAAATACATAGTTATGAAATGAGCCTCACACTTGTTGATACGGAGTATCTTTCCTACTAAAAAAAACTTGGCGAATGTAATTTATCAAGATGATCAGCCGAATTATTTTGTGTATTATAACGCCAGTGATAACTCTTAAATTCACCTACTTTCACTTTCATTTTTAGAGGTTCCCGCAGACAGACGCATTTTGCCAGAAAACGAATCTGACATGCCATCTCGAGATTTTGAGCAAGGAAAGACAAGTTGATGTGCTTTGATTTGAGGGGTCACTCAGTCACTGCTGAACGGAAATAAGGAAAATCGATATGAGAAGAAACTTTAATATCGTCACCTATGGGAAAACAATTAGTGCACTGTACCCACATATCCCGTTAATTCAGGACACTAGTTCCATAAAATATTAGGGATGTCAAAATTGTCAATGATTGATATTCGAATATTCGATAGGAGTATTCGAATATATTCGAATATTCGATAAAATAAATACATCTTGCATTATTAAATATATATCTTCACTCTCCTGTCAAACAGTATAGATTTTATGCCATTATTTTGGAATAAATACTCATGTAGAGCGAAAAATGCACGACAATTATGTATTTTTTTTAATTATTGAATAGTATACAACCAAAATGTAATGATTGATTTTTTTTATAGAAAATTCAAAAGATTCTGTAGTATATTCCAGATTAATTGGTCGTCTAACTAAAGTCTACACTGATAATTCCTACAAATTTATACCAAACAGAACAATTATCTAACGTTGAAAAGCAATTACTTTTTGCTAATTATAATTTCCTGATAATGCTTTTTAATGATATTTGGACATAACAAGAAGTCTGCGTGTGTAAAACTGGGTCCTTACAACAATACAAGCTGATTGTTAGTACTGGAAACTATTATACCACTAATTAAGTGAACAAATAAATAAATTTTAAAAATATGGAATTTTTACCTCATTCTGGAAGTTCTATGAAATTTTATTGTAAATTTTACATGGAATATCCAAACAAATATTTCCTTGCAAATGACGTCAAAAGGTGAAGGTTTTTCCCCCAACTTTCTATAAAACTTTGCCCTTGGGGAAACTGGTATACACATAGAAATGTTTAAATTGGCTAGGGAGAAATAATTTGCATTCACGTTACTTGTTTTCAATGCCAAAATAGACTCAGGCAGAAAAGGGATGCAAAGTAAATGTCGATTTGTAGTCAAGGTTTGAAAAATCTATCATGTCATATAATGACGTTGATCATGTGTTTTAGCTATATTGAACTCCATAAGAAACAAAACAAATATGCTGACACAATCAAGAGAGGATCTCTCCCAATGTATAAATCCATTTGCAATAATATATGCATTGACAGCTGCTATTCATGACATTATAAAGTCATTAAAACAAGACGGGTTGAAGTCCTTACTCAGCTTTAAAGAATCTTTTCAAAATAAGTGTACGATGTAGAAGAAGCGGACATTTAAAAATAATGACGTTGTTCGACGTCATAAAACTAAGCGCCGACAGCGCCAGGTGATCATATAATGTCGTTTTTATTTTATAATAATTTGAAAAATAATGAACGTATCAAGCTATGATTTTCAGCATTTCTTTATTTTTTGTTGTTTTTTGTTCCTTATAAATTTTGTAATCTCGGACAACACAGTACTAATTTTATAACCACAGTGCACGAATTTTTTGATAACCCCTCGTACTCTATTTAAAAACTTGAAAATATTGTCGTAAACTTATCTTGAAAATGCCTGTATATTCAAAGATATTTTAGGAATGACTCTAATTCTTGGCTAAATTATTCGATTATAACCTGGTTTGGGTCAGTTCACGCTTTATAATCCGCGAAGCGGATTATAAAAATGCGTAAACTGGCCCAAACCAGGTTATAATCGAATAATTTGGCCAAGAAATTGAGTCATTCCTTATAATTTGATTTTTAAATAATTAAACAAATGTGGATGTAAAATTGTGCTGCTTTTTATGAGTTCAAATTTGCCGCTCAATAATACATCCCTAGTAACGGAAGTGATTCGAAACAAGGGGACGTAATAACTAATGTTCAGATCTAACAGCCATGATGTTTGTTTACACGAGGTAAGAGCGAGCTACTGTTTGAAGTTAAAGCTGCATTTATTAAATGTGGAATTTTCCATGTAATCCCATGGACTGGAAATGTGGGATTGCATAGATATAGATGAATCAGCTGGTTGTCAAGGGGGTGTGTCCCCAAACCAAACCACTTTATTACGTTTTATTTTGTGTTCCTTTTTGGAAATCAACCAATGACAGACTAGAAAATAAACAAAATTAAATTATTAAGTGTTAAATGTCGGATTCTATTCTATGGAGAATGAACAATGAATGAAGCTCCGCAGCCGCAACAGTTTCTATACAGAGATTTCGCTCTTTTCTTTGCGTAAGAATCTCAGGTAACTTTTACAGTCGCCGACAAAGCACCATTGGACTAGTTCACTTGTTACTCTGAAAGGTGACCCAGGTTACCCTATCGTTAGCAAATTCTACAATGCATGGTCAGAAAATGTATAACTGTACCCCCCAAACTAAAATTGCTTCCCACAGGCCTGCAACTGATTTGCACTTTGAGTGATAGTAATATAACAAGTTGCTGTCCTTTAAAAAAGGACTACATTACGTGGACCATATGCATATGATTCTATCCGAAATTCAATTAAAGAAAAGTTAAGTTCATTGGATAATCAGGTAGGTTCGTTCACATTTTTAACAATGATCTGCCTACTTTGATTGATAGTACTTTAATAGCAAAATTGTCGATTTTTATCTCCGATTGGCATATAGTTTTGTCATTTTCAAACTCATGCTATTTTGCTACATAATCCAAAACGGCTGGGACTTTATGTATACTAGTATTTAATTTTATTCGGAAGAAATCTAACATTGGGAAATTAGATCCCATAGAACACGTGTAGCACAGCTCTGTAGTACGCATTTTTTTTCCGGAGCTCCCCAATCATGGACAATCGTTGCTACAGGCTTGTATGAAGCTATATTTGGATTCCTGTATATCAAATTATTTTGCCAGCCTTGATGCACAAAACTTATGCCGGTGAAGATTTGTTCTTTTAAAAATCTAGAACTAGTCGTTGAATAAAATTTTTAATTCAAGTTGTTAAGTTATCTATATACTGCAAGTTCTTCTTACTTTTTAAAATGCCTGTGCCATATAGTCATTGTTTAGTTTGTGTATAAAGTATGTGTATAAAGATTGAAATTTGAATCCGCAAAAAAATCTAACTCTCAATCGATCGCATCATCTCGGGTCCTTCCGTCAAAGGTCGGAAATCGGAGAGGCTCGATAGGTGTACATGTAGCGGAGTCAGGATATCGGGGGATTCGGCGCCGGGGAGGGGGTGGGGGGGCTCTTAATTTTACTGAATGGCAAAGATATATTTAGGTGAATGAAGGAACTTTCCCTCTCTAATCTTTGACGTAGCGTAAAGTACAAAAAATTTTAATGTATTACATTTTAAACTTTAAACAGTTGGTCTTCTCTAAAATTTAAAACCAATTTATTAAATTAGTCCTTGTCGTAAAAGGCGACTAAATGGGGGGAGGGGGGTCTTTCGGATAAGACCGTATAAACCGAGGCCTTCCCTGCTCAAAGGCCGTAAGTGCGGAGCATAGGCCTAAATTTGTAGCCATTCACTGGCAATTGTGACGACTCCATATCAGTGAAATATTCTGAAGAGGGACGTTAAACAGTATACAATCAATCAATCAATATCTCCAGTACTGTTCATAATTCTCAGACCTAAGTGTAGTTCTCATATACATGTATGATTGACACTATGACAAAAGGTCTGGCATTTTTTTCTAGAACAGAGCAAAAACGTCATAAAGATATGACGTTGCAGACGGTAAGAGTCGTTGCAGATTTTTGTATACATTTGTATACGTTTTTTTTATACACGTGTTTTACTCTTTGACACGTCTATCTTTTTTGTGGTTCGATCATTACCATTGTATATAAAGATAAGTCTGTCAATTTTAAAAAAAATACCAGGTAATTCTGAATTTTTATGTTGGATCCTCAAGTCCACTGGCATTAATTTAAATGTAGGCCTATCTAGAATTTGAAGCCCGTTTCTTCACTACTTCTAGCTACATGTATACATATCGCTATATATACTGAAAGGAAAAAGAAACGCATATTTTACTTTTAAATGAAATTAAAACTATTATTTCGAAAATGTTTTCCAGTATTGTTATCAAACATTTTAATTCATATTCAATCTACAAGTTACCAAAATCTTGTGTGACTTTGACTGATAATTCCTGAGTTATTGAAATTGATATGTCGATACCCCCTAAAATTAAAATAAAAATTCTCATAATCTATCTTGCACATTGGTAACAGCCTTGATTTTCCTGTGCATTGAGTTCACCAGAGCATTTATCTTTCTCATTTGATTATTATTCAACTCTTCCGACAATAGTCTTAATGGTTGATAGAAGCTGTATTATTCCAAAGCCAACAAATCCCCCCGCCAAGTGAGTGCCATGAATTTTCATTTTAGGATAGAATTTACAGAATCCAGCTGGTTTGGTACACGTGAATGTTTGTGAGAAAGTCTCGACAAACACTGGCTACATTTTCCCAGTGTGAACATGCTAAAAACATTACGCACACGACGTGTACATGCGCGCGTGAGAGTAAAATCGACGTAAAAGTTGCCAAGCTCGCGGACCAAATTAGAGCAGGGAATTTCTGTCAATTTTAGGGTGAAAATATTGGTATGATAGTTTGCTGTATTAATATCGGTTTCAGTGATAATACCTTGACAACAACCG